ATTTCGCTGGTCCAACGATGCGCTGATAAATAAAATAACGCATGTGTTTCAGGACACAAGATTCATTTGTCTAACATGTTGCTTTTTTTCTTTCTCGAACACGTTACTACTTACAGAAATGGGATATTTCCGTAGAATAGAGAAAGTTGTGCAATGCTATGGAAAATAAATTTTGATATTTGAACGGAAATGTACTTTTGAGTTTCCCTGATAATGGAAAAGGTGTTGTTTTTTTCAAAACGCCGTCCGTCGGTCGATGAACAACTAGCGTACAAACGATTCTAGGATTTTTGGCAAAATGAATATTCTCCAATCAATCTGTCTCGCTGACAAAGCTGGCACATGTTCAATTATCACTATTTACTCTCTAAATGTTTTTCGATTGTCTCGTACAACTGCGTTATTCAACAGAGATATTTTTATTGAATCTAACTTTGTTCTCCGTAATTAATTCTTTAATTAATGCTACGCATATTTTTTGAAATATTTGATGTTTTACATAATTTTGAGATGGAAAAGGGTAATTTTAAAACAATAATTTTCTCCAAATTTTCCTTAACCCTTTTGTACGAATAGTCTAAATGCACTGCATGCACACATGCCATAACACCATTTTGATATATACTTTTATTGTTGTACTTAAATTAGTCAAATATTTTTTTTGTTTGTAACTTTCGCGTTCGATAATATTTACAAAACCGGCGTTTCTTGTACGTTAGATGATGCATCAGAATGATTGCATGGGAACGAAAATGATATGTTAGGTCTATGCAAGAAAATGTAGTTTATAACTGGTAGTTAGTTATTGTGATTATCTCTTCTTCTTGGGAGTATATTACAGTTTTGCGGCCGTCTCTCGCATCACAATCTTCATACCACTCTATCGTACCAGACATTCTCTTCAAGACCTCTTCTTTGCATATCGTTAAAAACCTGATTCTACTGTTTCTTTCTGGGTCTACCTCTTTTCCTTCTGTCTAAAGGAAACCACTCGCAAACCTTTCTGGATCATCTCCCATAATCAAGCCTTTTCACGCGACCAAACCATTTCAGCCTTCGTGTTTCCAATTCATCTATTATTATTTTTGATATTGTGATTATTAAAACTTACATGTCTTTGTAACCAAGTCTAAAAGGAAAATTAAACATTTTTAAAGAAAAAACATTTAAAATTACTATTCCACTCGCGAAATTAAAACCATAGTGTTTAACTGCACATACAAAATGCTCCAATGAGGGCGGTGTATCTCAAAACTTATCGCTTTTCCTTCCCGATTTTCTTAGCACTTCCCCCGACTGACCAATCATAAACTGTGACTCAGCTATCTTAGGAGGCGGTACACATGGATCACTATGTCGATATCCAGTAAATAACGTATGTTCTCTAACATAACCTCTTTGATTTTAATATATCTTTCAGTTATTTTTAATATTTGGTGCATTTTGAAACTGTCTTGGACATAATTTCACTCCTACTGGAATAGTTCTATTAAATTCCACTCGTGTATGGAAATTCTCAGATAAATGCTCTTCGCTTCGCGAGTCGGGAATTTATCGACAATTTCCAAAGCACTCACGATATTACCTATGATAAATGTCTAAAAAGGCATTTAGGTCGAAATAAAAAAAGCAAAATAAAACTTCGTCAATGTTTCATTTGTCAAAATTCGTGCACACACTGTGAGGCTTTAAATACGTTTTTTTACAATAAAATAAGCATCTTTCTAAACAACCATTGCCTGGCTCAAAACGTGCCAGCGCATCCGAGACTGGCGGTTTTCAAAAGGATGTTTTAGGTACTACTTTAGCTGCTTGTTTTCATAATTATTGGATTTGTCTTTCTGCTTCTGACCAGTCTTTAGCTATAAGAGTTATATCATTTGCAAAGGCTAAGCTGTTATTTTTAGTTCTAATTTTAATTTCATTATTTTTATTTAGGTTTTAGTTTCATCCTCTGATTACTTTATCTAGAGCGCAATTAAAAAGTAATGGAGGTAAACTGTCACCTTGTCTGACTCCAGTTTTTATTAGAAATAGTTCCGATAACTCTCCCATAAATTTGACTTTAGTGCATGCTTCTGTAAGTGGTTCTGATAAGATTTGTAGTTTTATTGTCCAGGTCAAACTCTAAATAACAATAATAAGTATTATTATTATTATTATTATTATTATTAATTTTATTATTTGTACATTAACCTTTTCACTGCCAAACGCTGCGCGTCGTTGGCATGTCCGCTGCTCTCGTTCATCAGCACGGGTTGGTTGGTTGTAGTGATTCCGAGTGCGTCAACTTACGAGGTCATTAGTCCCCTAGGTGTAGTGCATTTTTATTCTCGGGAGGTGGCAGTGATATTCTCCCGCTGGATGGCGATATCCGGCGCGACCTACCGTCGGCTAGCGAGATTTCCCTCAACCAGGTATCTCCCACCAGCCTCGCGGTGCCGAGCACTTTTTCCCCTTCACGACGTTGCGCGGCGCTGTCAATGGCAGAGGTACAGTCGTCTATTTCACTTACGTCCCATCCTTCTTTCTCCAACAATTCCTTATTGGATAGAGCCGATTGACCCGCCATGCCGATGAAATAAAATCAATATCAAAAAACCCTAAGTCGAAATCCGTAAAATCCTAAATGTAGTGTCAATATCCAAGCAAGAAACAAAACACCAAATATGAACGAACGCCACGACTCGGCAAAACAGCAACAGAATACGAAATATTTTTTTCAAAGGACGCACTTTGGTGTAAGCGAAGGAAATATTAACGAGTGTCGAACTATTTATTTTCAGAGGCGCATCAATGTCTCCCGTTCATTGCAATGCAAGGACCAGAAAGTCTCTGATCTCTCAATGTTGAATAGATATAAGTTTACTAAGTTCGAATCTCCGAAAAATAACCCATGAGCTCTGTCCATTTGCAGTGAAAGAAGGACTTAGAACCTTATGAAAACGCCAGAGGACACCTAATCGCTGAAAGTATAATGCGCGATAGTAGGCCTACCGTGGAAGTGAAAGAAACTACCCCAAGTGATCCGGGGCATCGCCAATCTCTGATGCGCTGGCACGTTCCGAGCCAGACATTGGATGTTTAGGAAAATGCTTATTTTATGTATAAAGCTTATTTAAAGCCTCACAGTATATGGGCACGAATTTTGAAAATAAAACATTCTAACGAAGATTTTGAATTTTGAATATTTCGACGTAAATCCATTTTTAGACGTATTTATCGTAGGTGACACCACGAGAGTTTTGGAAATTGTGGATAAATTCCAAACTCTGTGGAGAACTTCCAGGAGATTTATCAGAGAATTTCCAAAGCACGAATGGCATTTAATAGGACTACTTGACGAGTGAAATTATGTCAAACATAGTTCCAAAATGCGCCAAATATTAAAAATAACTGAAAGCGTATGTTAAAATCAGAGGTTATATTATAGTGCATACGCCGTTTATTTGACATCGACATAGCGATTGATGTATACCGCCTCCTAAGAAAGATGAATCAGAGTTTATGATTGGCCAGTAGGTAGAAGCGGTAAGAAAAATCATATAGAAAAATCAATAAACTTTTTGAGATACACCGCCCTTTTATATGTACTATGGTTTTTAATTTCGCGAGTGGAATAGTCATTTTAAGATTTTTCTGTATATGTTTTTTTTCAATTAGTCAGTCTCTTCTCTGGCCTTTAATTTAAAGACAGAATATTAACATAAAATCACTTCTCTAAATCAATACATAAATTCCATGTGATACATAAAAACAGCAACATTTCATGAATTAATTATTTCCTTCGACAAACTTAATACCAAAAAGAAACAATATACTATTTTAAACAATTGACAGATGTCCAGAACTTAATAGAAAAATTACATAAAATATTGCACAGAAGTCACAACGGAAATCACCTTGATAAAATATTGTTTCGTACGACTGTATGTTGATAGAGGTTGAAAGGGATATTATAAAATCGAGACAGAAAAATAAGAAAAATAGATTCATTAACGCGACACAGAATTACAACAGAATATTCATTTTCACAAAAATCCAACAGACTCTAGTTTTGTTTATAGACAGACGGACAGACGTTTTGAGAAAAAAACACCTTTTCCGTATCAGCGAACTTCAAAAGTGTATTTTCGTTCAAATATCAAAATCGATTTTCCATGGCATTGTACAACTTTCTCTATTCTACGAATATTACTACATATACTGTTAGTAGTTCGTATTCGAGAAAATAAAAAAAGCAACATGTTAAGACAACTGATTATCTTGCTTCTGAAATATATCGTTCGATTTTAGTTTATCAGAGCATCGTGGATCACGAGAAATGATCTCGGGGATCACAAATGGTTTCCGGACAGCCAGTCTGACACCTACAAAGCATTAGTCAATAATTTGCGCCAAAATGTTATTTATTCATAATTTCCCCTTATATATTGTTTTAAAAATGAATGTTCTGTCAATTCTAGATAGTGTAAAAAATATGTGCCTTTTCCCCTCCAATTTTGAGTTTTAGTGCGTTTTTCATTGCCTCTTTTTTTGTCTTTTGAGACCCCCAAAACGTAAGTGTTTAGTGCCTTTACATCGTATTTCTACCATAGCACACGGGGCGCGAATGACGGAGCATTGCTGGCACGTGCGTAGCAATGAGAGGCACTACGAGTTTTCCTGTGGATCAGTTCTAGATTTCATTACTTAAAATTATGTGCAGGTGGATTTATTGTCTAGTTATCAACGTCTGTATTTCAAAAAATATGGAGAAATTGGAAAAAGTGGTATAGTTTAATTGTGTAATTAAGTAATTTAATAGTCTTATACGATCCCCCAAAGCCGTCGAGCCCGTTCGCATTAAGGCTGTCTGGAACAATCTAACGTCAATTCTTGTCCCATGCCCCCTCAACGTTGATTAGCGGAAGCAATTACAAGAGGCTCTCTTGTGGCTCTCGCCAGAATGCGCCACGAGGCGCGGAATGATGAAACATTTGCGTATGGGTGCCCATAAGGAAACCGCAACGGGAGCGTCTAACCGCTTCCGCTTGGAAATAGTGGAAAGGATTTTCATTTTCGAAGAAGGCATTTCTGCCATTGCTTTCTTCGCCGGCCATGGGATTGGAGATGCGGACGTCCTTTGTGCTTGTTTTGGCAATGTGGGCGGCAGTGTGGGCGGAAGAGGAGGGCCCCAAGCCCCAGGACAGGCGGTGCGCCTCCCTCACTGACTGCGGCTCGTGCCTCCGCACACCCGACTGTCACTGGTGTGCTTCTACTGGTGTGAGTATAGCATAGCGTTCTATCTTCAAAGTTACCGAAACGGCAGAACTGAACTTTTCTACACTTTTTTCCACACACACACACACACACACACACACACACACACACACACACACACACACACACACACACCGACGCACGCACACAATTTTTGGTTCAGCTTTTAATTAGTGAGTAGCGTTTGAAACATCCAGATTACTCAAAAAGAAAGATGACTACTGATTCACAAGAATAATTGTTGAAGAGCAAAGTTTTGCACAAAGCAAAAAGAAAGTTATTTTAAATCATCTAAAATAATACTCTCTAATAATAATAATAATAATAATATAATAATAAATAATAATAAAATATAATAATAATAATAATAATAATAATAATAATAATCTCTTTCCACTAGTAATATCATATCAAATAATTCCTACTCCTATTTTCTCTATTATTGACAATAAGTGACGATCACCCCAGAAATTATTTAAATACTGAATTATTTGAATGCAATAGGACAGCGAAAAATCAAGATGTGTTTCCAGTAACAAGGCCCTTGGTTCATGGTGTAAAGGTTTTGCCTGGGGACCCAAAACTGGTCATCAAATTGTAAACAATGGAACTGACAAGAGTCAGCTTTATCCACAACATGTGAAGTTGAAGCTACGGGTTGGTAAGTTAATTATGTAATTATCACTATATCAAATACAATATATATGCAATAACGTTTCTATTGTGTTGGTTAAAAAATTAATTACAATCGTGTTTGTACATAAAAAATCTACCAGTCTACCCAATCACACAACATACTTTAAAAATATGGACTATTACATTCAAACTGAAAAGAAAATCATGTACATTGATCAATCATTTCAAAACGTAGAACTTTTTAAAGTGCATTTTTACACATTTCTAGATTTAATTTGCCCCTTTAAAAATAACACGGTGTCTTCCTACAACTACAAAATTGAAGATAAAGATTTTCCCTTCAAATAAGATTACTTTTTCATAATAAATTCTTTCTTTAAGATCATGTACATTTTTTTGGAAAATTTAAAACTTGCTCAATATTACGTGAAATATGGGCAACATTAAAAAATATGAAACACAAGAATTTCCCCAAAATGGGTCCACAATTTTGTCTTTAGACTTTTGGTAAGGTACTTTTGTTTTTTAAAAAATACACAAATTATAATTTTTTATATCTCTTTCACATTGTTAATTTTGGCAATATGGGCGATTTGTATACGTTATTTAATTTGTTAAAACAAGTGCTTCAAGTTATGTTTTTATAAAGTTTCTGTACACAAAACTTGTTTTCTGTAAAAATGAGCTCACACTTCCGAATTTTCAGAAAAGCTCAAACGAATTTTTCTCAAATATAGGCCAAATTATTTCTTCAAACTTTTTGTACGGATGGTACTAAATGCACTATTTAAGATGATATAAAAGCCATTTTGCTGTATTCTTTTGTTTTTTCAAAATCGAAGTAAATGTTTTTTTAATATCTTTAACACCGTTAAAATGGTCATTGCCAGCAATTTCTGTACATTGTTGCATTTGTGTGTGGAAGTTCAAAAGTCCAAATGACTTCCAATGAAGTTTCTCGAAAACTCAAACGTTGTCTCTGAAAGAGAGCTTCAAATTTCGCATTTGCAGTAACGCTTAAACGATGTTTTCTTGAAAACGGCTGCAAAGTTTTCAACAAAATTCCATAGCGGACAAGGTTTGCCCTTGTATAATATTCTTAAAGTGAATTTTGTTAAAGTAAAATAATTTCTTCTTTTAAATTAGAGATGGCCAAATTTGTTTTGGTCATCTCTCATTTTGCATCCTTTGCACATGCTTGTATCATTGAAGATCTTTAATTTTTAATATTCTGGTTCTGGTTGTTTAACCTCAGCTCTTTCAATACTAATACATTCCTTTCTTCACATTTCAATTTTCTGGGTAACAAATTAACCTATTTTCGAGTATGTTATAATCATTTGAATTTATCCATATTTTTTTAAGAATTCACAAAGTGAACCGTGTTTTTAGAAATAATATGTATTAATGCATTGTTTGAACTACCTATGCACCAGATATTTTGTTTGTTTCTAAATATATTTCCTTGTAGGCGAAACTAAAACTATCAGGGTTGTTTTTAGAAGATCGGACGATTATCCTATTGACTTATACTATTTATTGGATATGTCAAAAACAATGAGAGGGCACAAAAATGAAATATCAAAATTGGGACAAAAGTTAGCATATGCCATGAACAATGTGACCAAAAACTTTCGCCTGGGATTTGGAAGTTTTGTTGACAAAGTTAGAATGCCATTTGTCTTCACTGATCGAAATACGTAAGTATAATTTGGTTCAGCGCTAATATTTTTTTGTTTGTGTGCGTTTGTAATAAAACACAGTCTTATTAATAATTAAACTATTTCAGGCTCGAAAAATCTTGCCAGCAATATAAATGTGTGTCTCCGTATTCTTTCAAGAATCATATGCCTCTTGATAATAATCCCGATATATTTGCTGTGAGTAATATGGAAATAATATAAATTTTGTTCTATACTTTTTATATTATCAACTTGGGAATATTGAGGCACTTCTTCTATGGCATTACTAGTGTTTAATATTCTCTTAGTTATTATATCTACAAATATGCTAATTTATTTTACTAGCGCACTGGAATTAAGGGTTCAAGAAAAAATATCATGACTTAAGACCTCTAGTGTACAGCTCAAAAGAGTAGTCTGCACTTACATCGTCTACACATTTTCGATGATCGCTTGTAGGGATTCTCTTATTCTAGATTTAACACAGTGCTTGCATATTAGAGCATAAAACTTTTGTTATTCATTCGTTATTGTAACCACATTTTATATACACTCTTACCAATGGAATTTGATGTAAGAATGTCCTCTATAATGGCCACACACTAGAAAAAAACTACATGAAAAGAACACCGAAGATAAATTATTTGACCTCGGAAATCACTATTTGAATTTCTAAATATTATCTAATGCCAGTCTCCACTCCAAATTAATTAATTAAGTTAATAATTCATTGTTTTAAAATTGTTCGATTGTCTGTTGAAAAGAATTAGATTTATTATAATTCTGCCCCACCCGATCTGGATGGTCTAGGTGGCTGAGGCCGTGTTCCGATTCAGCGCTTCGGTCCAAAGGGGCACGGGTTAGAGTCTCGCTTTGGGGCATGATTGTTTGTTCTTTGTCTCTCATGTATGTGTTGTCGTGGAGGGCCCCGCGTTCTGCTGATCCCAGATCAGAGGAGACCGCAAAGTATGTTGGTGTCTAGTGTATGATTGAATATACGTCCCGTCGGGACGTAGAAGGTAACCGGCTGAGGGCTGGAAAAAGCTCTAGGGGAAAAAATGCTCCACTTTTAACAAAATGTCTCTTTATGTACTGAATGTTATCATTTTGTTTTCGGATTTCTTGCAGACTAAACTTCGAGAAACTCCTGTATCCTCGAACAATGACTCTCCAGAAGGTGGCCTTGATGCTTTGATGCAAGCCATAGTTTGTACAGAGAAGATAAAATGGCGTCCCGATGCTCGTCATTTATTAGTTTTTACAACAGATGATTTGTATCATATTGCTGGAGATGGAAAGGTACTACCTTCTCATTTGAATTTCTTACGATTTTGTGAATTTAAAAAAATGTTATCGAAAGATAATAATGATTTCTTAACATTAATAATTTCAATAAACTCAATACATTTATCTGAAATAGATATTTTAGAATAATAGTAGCGTTTGTATTATACAAGCGCTTCGTTTGACTTGGACTTTTTCAAGTAATTTCTGAAGTGTTAGTAGGGTAGAAATTGCAATATTACGTAAAAGTTTCCGATAATGCGAGAAAGTGTGTGCTGTTGTAGCACCTAGTTTAAAATGTTGTGTCGCGTGGAGTTCATTCTGAGTCGCTCATTTATTATACCTACGTTCTAATCCTTCCCTGACTTGAAATGAGAGGAAACTATGGGTGCAATATGTGTGTATAATTGTGGAACTGTATCCCTTCACACCAAACAATGGTACAAACACCGTTAAGGGGGCAAGGAATACCACGGACAAATGTGTGTAGGTAACGTCTGAGACAGACCTACGCGATTTTCTGGGAGCGCGACGTCCTGAAAATGTCCCCAGAGGAGCGATAGGAACTACAAATTGCACTAGGTCATTTAGAAGCTGATAGATTAGATTAATAGCTGGGAGAGGGGGAGACGAAAAAGCTACCCAAAACAAATAGTATGAGAAAGTCTATGTCATTCTACAGCACTACTTGTTTGTTTTCTTTCTACTTTTTCAGCTCGCTGGTGCAGTTGAACCAAATCCTGAAAGGTGTATTATGAATGATCGAAATGAATATGTGGGTTATGCAGATTATGACTATCCGACTATTTCTCAGGTATGTTTCTCCACCAAGATTTTTTTGTTTCAAATTGAGACCTTTGTATTTCAAAAAACAAAACGTCGCGTTTCTTCTTTTGTTAATAAACTTAAAAATTACATTCTGAAAATCTGCAAGATATGAAATAGTAGACCATATTATGGTATTACTTCATGATGTTACCGTTTTACGCATGACTGATAGTTTTTATAATTTAATCAATGTGAAAAAACAGTTAACAGCTATGTGTAACGTACTTTGGGGAGAAGTACATTCTTTGAGCTCTTAAATTTTGCCCAAACTCGTATACACACACACACACACAGATATATATATATATATATATATATATATATATATATATATATATATATATATATATATATATATATATGGATTATGTAGACAGGTTGCAACGGATGTTTTTGGAAAGAACTGCTAAGAAAATATTTGCTCGCGGGTAAAAAAAAACTCTTTGCAAAGGCAAATCATCTACAGTTTTGTCTATTACCTTATAATGCCCTTCGTGACGGAATAGACTTACATCCGCAGAACATGGAGAACGAGTGTTTAAATAACTACATACCTCATCAAGCACAAGGAAAAGTGCACAGATGGTGAAGCTTCTTTTATGTTCTGATACAACACAAGGATCCAACTCAGTATTTTCTCAAAGGTTCAGAGAAGCTGAGCGAAAATTCTGATCGAGATTGTGATCATTGGCTCAGAAGCTGAATTACTTTAATTTAAAGGCATATATAGTATTATAGAATTGTACACTTCAAATGGTAACTAATGTACTAAATCTAATTAAATTCAATATTATTTTTATTTTATTGCTTAGTATAGTCTCTGATTGTACGAGAAACAGTTATACACCAGAAAATGTTTTACTAGGCAGTTGAAGTTGTGAATATATTTATATCATTTAAAGCCGTTATACGATGTAAAATAATGTTCATGTGTTGTACATGGATCTTTTGTAGTGAGGTGTTAATACTCATACCTGATGAATATGAATACTAGACGAGTAGTATAGTTAGTTGTAAATATCTGCATTGTCTGAAAATATGTTGTTACCCTTGAGAATGTCATTTTTGACAAAATGTAATTTTATAGTAATTTGTAAATCGAGCGAGTATCAATTAATCAAGCAATATTAGTGTTAATTCGAATAATGTAAGAAGGAAATAAAATTATACGTTGCATTCACTGTTATTTTCTCGTATACTACGTATACTATCTAGATATGTACGGTACGGTACGATATGTAATAACTTACAAAAATCAGTCTTTTTTTTAACAGAAAACTCGTTGTATGGGTCCATGACAGTCTCTTCAATGTTTCTTGCTCTAATGCGCAGTAATTTATTTTGTTGGAAAAGTAGTGTGATCAGAATCCACATTTTGATACCGAATAAGTTGTTTTTCTCAAAACGCCTCTCTGTCCGTCCGTCCGTTTGTGGACAACACTAGTGCCTTACCTGGTTCACTGGATTTCCTCCTAAATATATATTCCCTGAACAATCTAGCTTTACTCTAAACTGAATTTTAAATTTTAGGGGTACATTACATGACCTCTCAGAACATTTTCTAAGTTTTTTGAAAAAATGCTCCGTTTTTCAATTTTTGCTCAAAAGAGGAAAATATGCTGATATAAATAGCACGAATCCAATTTGCAGAAAAATCTCCAAACTTTGAAAATTGCAAAAGTTAAAAAAGTTTACTTCCATTCCTACAATTAAACTATTGAAGAAAGATAAACTCGTATATTTCTTTATAAAATATGCTATGGTCAAGTAGTCCCTGTTCTTGAATTTCTTCATAAACTTTTTTTCTTGAATAGAACAAAGTTTTCTTAATAATAAGGCATAGATTTGAGTTCAATAAAAACCTTCGAACTTACAAAAAGTTTGCTTTGTTTCGATCTGTCTTTCAGTTTCTTAATGCAATCTATTCCTCGAAATTATATATTTATATCATTGCATGTGCACTATTTCCAAAGTATTAATAGTTTTCGCGTAATTTTGATTTATGTTTTAGAATCAGCGCAACGTTAATTATTCATTACAGCATTTAATCAATCAACGCCCTGCATAACTTTCTAATGTTTTATTTAGGATGTCTACGTCTATTGAAGAAATAAAATTCGCAATTATGAAAATAAATTTTCAATTTAGTGCCAAGGGAATAAATTTGAGTTGACCTTAAATGTCCATGGTCTGCTTCCTAATTAAATTAGTTAAATGACAATGGGAATTAATGGGTTAAATTGAGGGTTTTCATATTCGGTTAAATATTACAGGAAAAACCTTGTTACTTGCCATCGCTCGGGTTTGAATCAGTGACGGCTGCTCCTGAAGGGCTCTAGGGCGACGCTCTGCCCCGAAAAGTCAACCTCGGGAAAAGTGGCAGAAAGTATTAAACTTGCAATAAATCCACTCGTTTAATTAGTGCACACCACCATTGCAATTTAGAGGACGAATTTAATTTTATGTTCCCGCTTAAGCGAAAGATAAATGTTTTTGGAATGGGTCGTATCATGGACTGTCGCGAGTCCCTCTGTAGCTGGTGCATGCGAGGCAATGGAAGTGTGAGGAAGAATGGGATTACTGAGAGTTTGGTGGGGGCAGCATGCTGCTATTAGGGTTTTCTTCGGAAGAGTTCGCGCCTATTAACTAAGCTAAGCTCACCGACCCTTTAATATACTATTACATCTACTACTACTACTAAAATACATTTTTTACGAAGCACTTGCGTTTCGTTTAGCGAGGAGTTTTTCAATTGAAGGACTGGAAGGAGGGAAGAAAGGAAGGAAGAACTTAGTAGAGTGGGTAGGTGGGAGAAGTAAGCAGAAAGAAGTTCCGCATTACATTAATTGTTAATAATAATAATAGAAAGTGCGAGCTGTTGTAGCTCCAATAGTTTTTCCCTTTCTAGAATATTCTTGTGTTTATTTTATCGCATTACACATTAAATGTTGTAGTGCTGCAGAAAATCGATCGGGAGATTTTGACGAGAATACGTTTTTGGAGTCATTGATTACGAAAACGTTTAGACACGAATTTTTATGAAACCCACTACAATTTCGGTAGTAGTGAAGTTTATTTCTTTTAGAATTTGTTAATTCATGTCAGGTGCAATTCTTGAATTCTTTTCGTGATTCTTAGAAGTACAGGGGTTGTCAAAATGAAATGAATACTGTGCAATATTGTGCACATTGGCACCACAGTGGAGTGAAAACTCTGCGAAAGGGTTGCGTTGCACAGTTGACGTTCCACGTTTTGAAGGCTATATTGTTTCACGAGCGACAGTGAGCACAGTAATGGCAACATACACAAATCATGGTAAAGTATGATCGGCGAAGAGGAATAGTGGACGAAAGCTGAAGTTAAGTGACAGAAACCGACGAACGTTAAAAAGGATTGTGGTCAGACAACGTAAAACTACCGCGGTAAAAGTGACTGCAGAACACAACAGACACGAGTAATTTTGTTTCCACCTAAATAATACAGTGGGAGCTTCACAAAGCTAACAATCTATCCATGGAAGCCAACGGAAAGGTGCGGAAGAAGTAGTGCCACGATCATAAAACCTGGATACTTGATGACTGCAAGGACGTGGCATGGTCCGATGAATCATTGTTCACATCGTTTCCTGCAAACGGCTGTGTTTATCTATGAAGCACTCCAAAACAAGCACACGATACTACTGCTTCCTGCGGTATGGAGGAGGTTTCATTATAATTTGGGTCCTATTATTACCCTTACTGGTCGGATTACTGCGAATAGGGATCTCTACACCTCAACAATGAAGTGCTTAAAATGATTAACTTATTGTTGTTGCCAAACTCTACAATATTCCAAGGTGATAATGCGCCCATACCTATGCAAAAAGGTTCAGGCATGGTTTGCGGGGTATCAGAATATTATCAAACATCTTGCCTGTCCAGCACAATCACCAGACCTTAACATAATTAAACCGTTGAGGAGCAGAGAGTGCCCCAACATCGTTGAAGCAATTGACGAGGTACAAGAATGAGAAAACATTCCGTTAAAGTTCTTCAGACACACTTCAAATCTATTCCGCGACGAATTGCAACTGTTCTAAAAGTAAATGTGGCCCAATACCTTTTTAATAAATAAATAATTTGTTTATGTCAGATGTTCATGTTATTTTGTTCTACTCTTGTGTTTCTGATGCGTTACAACCAACGAATCATTTTACATTGCAAATGCCGTCTTGCGAGTCAGCCGAGTTGCTAGCGCACTGGCATCTTGATAAATTGAATGTTCCCTGCCTCGCGTAAATTATTGTTTTTATTGCTTTCTTCAACACTTTTGTAAGTATACTAGAGAATAATGTAAGTTAATTTTATTAAAACTTAAAAAAAAAGATTTTTTCGGGTGTTTTGGGTGTAGACTAATTTCGGTAAGCTTTTCAAGTAAGTATTGATTCCGGCCGCCCCATCTACATACGGCATTTGTACTGTGAGCTTAATGGATGTTATTTCCAAAGAGACAGCGTTATTGGTAAAGTAAGATCCTGCGCAGACGTACGTATCAGTTTGCGTAGTTTTCCCCTTTTCATGTATCTCCTCTGGGGGTACCGTCTCAACTGAGACGAACTCTAAGCTCCCGGGTGGTCTCCCATGCGATAGCCTCGTAAATATAAGTGTGCGTTTAAGTGGAGGGGAAGGGACAAGGATGAGGAAGGAAAGATAGCTCACGATCCTTTGCCCGTTTTTTAGGGTATTACCCCCTTTCTAAATTTTAAATATTTTTCTTTAAACCAGTTTTGAAATACAATATAAGTTGGAACATTCTTTCCACAATGAGGAGTATTTTATTGATATTTTTGGTTTCAGATAAATAAACAAGCCATTAAAAATAAGATTAATATAATATTTGCTGTGACATCAACTTATTCCAAACAGTATCAAGAGTTGGCAAAACATATTCAAGGATCCAGAATGGAGATTTTGTCTACAAATGCAACAAATATTATCAATATTATTACTGAAGTATACAATGTGAGTTGCTATTATGGTGAAATAATTTTCTGATATATATCTTTACGACAACAATGTAATGTTTATTGTTATTAATTTATAATAGAAATTTGAAAAATCTGTTAAATTACTTGATGATGCTGGAAGCAGAGGCATTGGAATAATTTATTATTCAAATTGTTCTGAAGGCGAACAAATAAGAACAAATGAATGCAATGAAATTAAAGCTACTGTACCTGTTACATTTGATATCGATATTACGGTAAGTTATTTCTTGTTTTCTTTTGTAATATTGATATTGATTGTGAACCATTGTATTGCCATCAATTGTAATGTGATGGTATTATATTTGTCGAATAATAATAAAAAATACTTGAAAATAGCCATTGTGAAAGGATAAAGAATATTTTATTTTTCTTTAGAAATAATGCATGTAATTCTTTTTCAGGCGAAATTTTGTCCACCAAATTTGAATAAAGATATATGGAATACAACAATTAATATCAGTCCTCACGGAATAAATGAAAAACTACAATTAGACATTGAAGTATTTTGTTCCTGTCCTTGTGAATTTGAAGGACATGAGGTACGCAAATTTTTTTATATTTTCAAATCCTGCTGATAAACATTATGAATCACCGTAGGCGCTCACACGCCTATGCATCTTATATTCAGAAGCCGCTTAGATTAATTTACACCACCGTCATCCAATCGTCTCAGGATCCGTTCTGCAATACGATCGCCATCGAATGTCAATGCTTTCTGCCCAGTTTGTTCATGTTACGCGCTCTTCGCTTGTCTTCTCGCTCCACCACCCAGGATCGGCTCTTTCTCTCGGACATCTCATTTCTCATTGGTTGATCTCATCTTAGTATTTTATGTTTATTCCGTGCCTATTTATCCCTGGACGATTTTAATGGGTGTTGAACACGTGCGAATACCCGCGCTTTGTTAAATCATTATTTAAAAATTAAAATACTACAAATGATAGTCCTACATAATAAAAAACAACTTCGAGCATCCAGGTTTTGATACACGCTCTACCTCATATTTCATTTTACAAGAAATTTCGAGATTTTGCAAGTTGCTGGACAACCGTGTAGAAAGGGGTAAACTTCTTACATTGCTACATAAGTACAGAAATCTCATTTTGTAGATTTTGGCTTAAAAACCGATGTCGGTGTCCACATCGTCAGCGCGTTGCAGCGTGACGTATATAGCGAATTGCATCTGTGCCAGCTAATTCCTTCCTTGCTTATACCCTATATTTATCGTGTTTGATATACATATATCACATTCGCGGGCTACTAGGGTACTACTTCAACCCACGAGGGAAAAAATGTTTTTAGCTGTTGAAGCCGCGTATATATTGCATTAACGAGTTAGTCTGCAGTTGTTTTGTTCGATAGCAACATAGTGCAACATTAAATTCCTTTGGCATAGTTCGGGGGTACACCTGTACTTTACAGCACTGCATTAAGTGACTAGTGTCGAAATTAGGGGTATTTGAGCCTTGCAAAATTTTAACTATACACTGAATTTTCAAGAGAGATAATCAAGCCATAAGAAGAAGACTGAAGCACAAATCCAGTCAGAAAACGGGCCATCCATATGCGTTTACTGAAGATAAAGAAGTGTCCTTGACAAAATCTGTAATTTCGGATTTCCGGTTGATGAACATTTCAGATTTATTGTGATGTCTTACTTATTTAAGCGTGGAAGAACTGTCACTACTTTCAATGACAATCTCCCAAGGCGAGATTGGGTGAAATTTAGGTAGCAACAGTACAAGATAAAGAAATGGATAATAAAAATTGTCTTTCAGCTGTTAAAGTTATCTTCGTGTTTGTACTATATTTTGTACTCATGTTTGTATCAGAAAATATCGAAACTACGTAGACCTAGAGAAAATCTCAATGGTTGTATATAATATAACTTCACGTGGTTTCAAGTAGTCTATACATCAGTGTAACTTAAACCCAATTTTTCAAAACATATATGTGCGCTTTGTGTTAAATATATCTTATCGAACTACTTTCGAGCATTTTACATTAAGCCGCTAGATCGACAGAAAAACATATAAACGTATTTTGTTTAGTTTTTAGTGGATTAGTAACGAAAAAACTACGAAGAAATTGTTTACGGTACTTGTTGATACAGTATTTCACTACCCAGCAGTAGCACATTCATGGATTTTAATAGCATTCATGTTAATGGCATCTTTAAATAGTACAGTCATTTTTACGTAGAAAATTCCCTTTTATTCCAGCCCATCGAAAGCTGCACCAAACCACAAAAAATGTATATTTAGTGTGTGCAAATGAAATAATTCTATGCATTTTTAAAATGTATTTATTTAAGCTCGCTTTATAACAACTAAGTCATCAGTGAACCTTATAAACAATCGTAGTAGTTACAGTTTCAACAAAAATAAACATGTCAAAATTATTTACACTTTAAAAATTACATAGTATGTTTAATCTAAAAGCAAAATTCAAAAGTTATATAAGACTGTTCAATTTTGTACTTTCTAAAAGTTTTAATATCTGTGAATTTTGTTTTCAGACTTACGAGAAAAATTCGTCTCATTGTCACTATCATGGGGCGAAAAAATGTGGCGTCTGTGAGTGTGATGAAAAATACACTGGTGATACTTGTGAATGCGAACGAGATTCCTATAAAGTTTCGGAAGGGAGTAAATTATCAGGCTGTATAAGTGATGATGCCTTAAAAACTGTATGTTCTCAACACGGATCTTGTGTTTGCGGGAAATGTGTTTGTGACAAAAGACCAAACCCTGAAGAAGTAAGTATCATAACTATTTAAAGTACTCGTATATAGTTTTGTTGTGAGTGATTTGGGGAAATGGCACAAGTAGTGGCCATTTATTACACATTTAAAAATAAGAATGGAAGAATTTGCTAGAATATGAAGGCTGGCCTTCTAGTGGTGAGGATTTACACGAAGATATTTTATTTCAATTCCCTTTTTTGATATTTAAATAATAAGCTGAAAACATTATGTTAGGATTGGTATTGCTATAATATAACATGCATCGGTAATTTTGTGGACTTTTTTGTCTTTAACACGATCGTAGATGGAATAGGGTATGTGATCATTACGAAAATTGTGCGGTTTTAAAGTGACAACTACGGAAAAAAATCGGGGTTGGAAATTAATTAATAAAAATAGAACAAATTAAAAATTGTCCATTATTAGACAAATGATTTATCCAAAGAGAGATAGCCTAATCACTCATACTGTTTTACATTGCAGATTTAGTTCTGTAGCCTAAGAATTTTCAGAAAACGAATATATTCTTAATTGTGGCCACTACTGGTATGTTTACACGAATTTTGGAAACTATTATATTAAAACTAATTATGAATTTTTTTACCTGACCTTTACAAGAGTGAAATTGTCCCTCTGTAGCTTCATTTCGGAAAATTAGTGTAGTGTGTAACTTAAAAATGTAAATGCTTGTGCATTTTACAAGTCAAACTGCATGTGCTTGAGAGCAAAGAGATGTTTTCTTTGTATTTTTTAAGTATCAAAATAGCCCTGGAAGGCAGGGTTAGTTTCTTTTATTATCAGTCGTGAAGTCTGCCTCGAGCGTCACTCGTTGTCTTGCTGTACAGCGGAGTCTTCCCGGTGCTGTGGCATCGTACGCGCAGTTTCTCGGGGCCCGCGCAGCGCCGGTTTCTGCGTGTGCGCACATGTGTCAAGGTCGCGGCCGCGGGCGAACTGCCTTTCGAGGGCCTGGCCTCTGGCCCCGAGGCGCGCGGCAGAAGCGCTTTCGCAGCGGTGCGGAGTGGCTCGAATGGGTCAAGGGGCGAGGTCCGCAGGTTCGAGTTCCATCGGTGGGGGAGTTTCGCTATTAGCTTTGTAGCTGGGTCGAATTCACCATACCATCGATAAACACTGGTCTTTGATGGAGCTTCATCGCCAATAATTGAATTAAGTTCATCCGTGCACTGTTGCTGAGTTAATCCACATCGATAGTTGTAAAACAAATCGCACGAAAATGTTCACGATTTAATTCCATTTTTGGGCCAAGATGAATATTTTAAGTTACTGTAAACAACACAAATAGCGCTCGTATGTCAAAACGTTCTGAGTACGAATAACATCCAACTTTACGATAGAGCTGTCAGTTGCCAGATTGCAACACCAGGGTTGCCAAATCCCGAAACATAAAAGGCAACCTTCGAAGTAGTAAAAGTACAATTTTTAGTGGCAAAAGAGAGACGATATTCATACGTTCAGATACAACTGTGAATACAACAAAGAAAAACAAAAATAATATTTTAGTCTGATCGCATCAGCTACTACTGACCCTAATGTAAGATATGATTTGTAAGCTTCAATTCAAATAAAAATAGTGTATGACACACGTGGCAAAAGAGATTTAATTTTGCTCGTAGGATTATGCCACTCATCCTATCAGCCTCGTGTTGCAACATTTCCTTCTCGGAAAATAAAATGGCTCTTTTACCTCTCATATCCTAAATAACCATTCAATGTGATATGTTCTTTGTTCTTGCATTATTTCTTTAAACTCTAAACTAAAATGTTTAATTGTTTCCAGGAGTTCTACGGAGTGCATTGCCAATGCGATAACTTCTCCTGTAGGCGCCACAACGGACTGTTGTGTTCCGGGCCGGGGAGAGGTCGCTGCTCGTGCGGGAAGTGCGAGTGCGAGCCCGGCTGGACCGGGGACGCGTGCGAGTGCCCGGAGATGCAAACGAGTTGCCTCGCCCCTGGGGAAGACAAAGTGTGCTCGGGCGTGGGAAAGTGCGTGTGCGGAAAATGTGAATGCGAGGAAGAACGCAGTGGAAAATATTGTGGGGACTGTAAGCCAACTCTCAATATGGTATGTTTCTAATGCAGCAGCTTGCTTCAACTTTTGCTTAAAATTGGTATTTAAAAAAAATTGTTAATAAGGAAAAGTAACCTGTTACTTCTTAAAATAGTTGTTGGTCTCTGACAACTTATTGTGTAGTTTCTTAGAATATTCTAAGAAATTGTGGCAATTTAGTAAGAACTATCGCTTTAAAATACTTAGTAATCATTCCAAGTACTGTTCCCTTATGCTTAGTAAAATTGTAAACCAGTGCAATATTCTATATCTAATGGAAATCACACATTTCTAAAGAACAATTTGTATTTACCTTTGCAGACATGTACAGGTGGTCGGTGTAAAGAGTTTGCTGATTGCATTGAATGTATGGTGCACGATACTGGAAGATATGCTGGAGCATTGTGTTTAAACTGTAGTATTCCATCTCCTGAACGGGTTGATTCAATAAGCGGTATGTTTTCCTGAATAGACGCAAATGACTTTTCACAAATGCATTTTCGTGTTACCTACATTTTACCAACTTTACCAATGTTTTGTTATGTGTCAAGAATCCAGTTTATCTTTCGAGGAGAAATACTGCAAAATTCCTGATGATTCCGGCTGCTCGTTTGTCTTTACTTATCAAGAAGAACGAGGGTCTGTGATATTGAGAGCAGTAGAAACAAAAGAATGTTCGGCAGCAATAAACTTAATAGGTAATTACATTTTTTAAACTATTAATAATAGTACATTCATGGTACAAAGAATTCATCTCGATCGGTCGGCAACTAGTTAGTTCTGGTCCTTCTGCAGCCCCTGCCGATGCTCTATTGACGCGCGTACAAACTGCGTGGAAGAGTGTTTCCAAACAGCACATCCAAGTCCTCTTTGAATCCATGCTATGACTCTGAGGGCCGCCCCTAACGGAATCGTGCCGAACTGAATACTCACGATCAAAACGTACCTATAGTTCCGTAATTGTAATAATTTGTATATTCTCATGTCCATAATCTGTGTAATAAATTTCATTGTAATCGCATGTCTCCTTGGATTTGCAATTTTCACAAATAACACTGCAGTATGTCGGCCGAAACGTTGGTAACTGTGCCTAGGACAAGGCGTGTCCCCGACAGCTAAGTTTATATTGACATATCATTGACATGACAATATCGGTATAATTTAAATAACAAAACTAGGAAAGCGTAGGTTTCCCCGGACGGTGTCTATATAAACTTAGCTATCGGGGAGACTGCCAATAATGTACATAACTGATAACATAATATTATGTGACATACTACATGCATGTAGTATGTTACATATTATTATGTTTTCACGTTATATACATTATTGACAGTATTTGTATTCACTTTCCGTGTATTGTGGAGAACAAAATAAGATATTTGTTGAAGATTATTGGTATAATGGTTTATGGAATCTTGCATATGTGTTCGCCGTTGTGTTATAACCGCCCATTCTGCTATAAATATGAAGTTTCAATGAGCTCATTCATACTATTAATTTTATCTGGCCTGTTTTGTTCCATACAGCGTTTCAGTGCAAGTTTCAATTGATCTATCAAAAGCAGTTGACGTTTCGTCGTCCACTACGAGTAAGCACGAGAGTATTGGGTTATGGTTAGCGAAAAAAATATTGCGTGTTTTTTAAGTTCGAAATTTGTAGATTTGTATGCAAATGTGAGTATAGTATTCACCAATCGTCGGACATTCATGTCTCGTTTCAAGAATCGTTTCAACAACCAATCAATGCTCCACGTTTTCAAGTTAAAGTGTGTAGCGTGATTCCATTCTGACAAGACGACGTGAAACAATATTTTTAGGGTTTCCCTTACAGGTCATATGTTGTGCTTTTGTATTGTAACTTTTCTACTTCCCTTCCTTTTGTGTGATGTACTCGCAAGGGTTCAACTAGTTATGATTTTTTTTGGTCCCGAATTGGCCACCTAGGACCTTGCAGACATACACCGCAGAGCTAACATACCGAGGCTCAGTTACATTTTTTCCCCGAGGCAAGTGTACGTGGCTCCTTTGGGGAGTGGGGAGTAAGCATTCTTATGCTAAATCCACATTTATCCTCTAGGGTTCCTAGCCCGGGGGAAGACACTACTTTTCTACAAAAATATGGAGTTGCCACCGTGAAGAGTTTCCTCATACAGAATATTATTATTATTATTATTATTATTATTATTATTATTATTATTATTATTATTAATGTTGTTGTTGGTGGTGGTGCTGGTGTCATTGTATTTATGTATTTATATTAGCGGTCAGGACGCCTAATCATTAAACATATGTTAGGCATTGGTTTATCGAATTGAATGATACAACTACAACCAATCTGTTTAAGGAATTGTGCTTGGAATAAGTGGAACTACTCTATTTCTCGTAATTTTGACAATTTTGATATGGAAATTATTAACAACAGTTCACGACCGAAGAGAATACGCCAAGTACGTCAGCGAGTTGGAAAATACGCAATGGGCTGCGGTAAGTTTCTTTTTTATTCGAAAATTTACGCGTTTAATTTTTTTTATCCACTTTGGCTAGGTAAAGTGAACATTATGGCATTATAATCAATATCGTAATGAAGTACTTAACCGCCCTAGTGTGGTAAAGTACTTCATTACGACAATAGGGCGCTAAAATAGTGGCGTACTTTACCACTCTTCTTCTGAAAATATTTTGGCCTTCTTTGTCTTGTATCCTTCTCTTTTCCTCTTTAAAACGCCAATAACTGAGTTAACTTACTGATACCAATATTGTTATTAAGTTATATTGTACTATTTAACATAGAGTAGTGGGTCCAAAGGCTACTTGTTTCTCCTTCTCTGACTTGCCAGAAAAGTGAGCAAAACATTTTCTGATATGGAAAAGACTTTTTTCACGTCTTCAAAAATTAAATAGTACTCACGCTCATATTTCTTTCTTGATTTGTCGGGTAACAATGTTTCTATAGCAGCATTTGATGTTATTTCTATTTACGAATCAGATCTGCTATACGATATACGTACTCACGTATGTCGAAAAGTATACACCAAGTGCGTTTCAATTGTTCTCCTTGTTGAGAACAATGTTATCTCTTTTAGGAGAATAAATATGAATACTAAATGAAGGCTTAGAGCAAAGTGTCACATTCAATCTAACAAATTTTTACAAAGTGTATAAAGTGGATAAAACGTTATACGATATTCTTGTCGTAACATCTGATTGCAATTCTCAATTGGTTACCAAAATCGGCCTAACCACCTCATTTGGCAATTTTCCAAATTCGTATTGTAGTAAGATGTTATACGACACTTGTAAACTTGTTAACTATAAATTAATTATCTAATAATTCCTTACTAGTTTTTGTTTCTCACATTTTTTAAATTTGTTTCTTTTCCCAAACAGGTTAATAATCCTCATTACAGAGAGCCAACGCGAACCACAGTCAACCCAATATTTTCTAGGAGATCCAGACTTTCATTTATGCTCAGATGAGAAGAAATATTTGCATCCTGAATTAGGGAATGTAAATGGAATGCTATTGTTGAATATAAGATATTCAGGTACACCAATGTTATATGTAGTTTAGCTCACGTTTGTATATTTCTGCACTTCTAGTGAGTGATTTAAACGAGTGTAATGTAGCATTATTTACACTATGTGAATGGTTTTGTGTTCAAGTTCAGTGTACTGTGAGGAACAAAGTGTCTTATTTATGGAAAATTATGGCTATAATGTTTTAAAACGTCTTGATGTGTACGTCTTGTGTATCTACGGTTTCTGTGGATCCAGTAATTCATACTCGCAACCAGACAATACATTTCACTTTAATTGCCATGAAAGTTTGCAACAAACCGACACGGCATAGTTGAGACAAAATATATTACATGCAAAACTTTAAAATTGTTTTACTAGACTTTGATTTTTATTTCATGAAGAATTGTAAATATGCGAGAAAGGCAATGCTCTTAACACTTTATCTTTGTTGTGTTTTCAATACTGTCCCTCCTATTGTTCTTCCATATCCATTGCAGAAGAACGTTTGATGGTCGCAGGAAAGGAACGTATCTGCACCCTCTCTGATTTATTAAATAAATAAATAGCAACTCGTATTATCGAAGTCAATGGACTTATCTTCTTTAATTATATAAATATTTTCTTAGAGTTTTAGCTTCAAAATAAATATCGATTGTCTGGGTGTTTCTTGCTCAAACTAGATTTGTGAACGCAATCTTGAATGTATCAGAAACGCATTTAATAGAAAAATAACAATTTCGTTGCATTTATCTCTGGATGAATACCCTTGCAATCGCTTTTGTTGGTGCACATGGGTAATATGCTTGTGAATATTTGGAGAAAGGTGTGGTATCAAAAACGAATTTTAAAATCTGAAAATATTTATTTAGAATTTCTTGTATTAACTGACCACCTGTGAATGTGTAAGGATATGAAATAGTGAAATTTCTCTAGACGATTTTATTTCTTAGCTCTATTTGTCCTTCGGTCAACAATGGAGTTAGTCTTCAATCATCTTTGTATTGAAAGCACGTAAGTGTTTTGTTTTGGAAAGTAATTTAAGCCTTTTACTGTACCAAATTTTGGAATTTTGCTGTAAATGGTAGATTATTGGTCCCAGATGTCTTATCACTTGCTTTTATTAACCGGTTTTATAATATAATCACCAAATTTAATAATATCCTAAAATTAACAGAATGAACGCTAATCTGCCGTCCTATGTGATTTCATCATTTCCATGACGAACTACATTGAGTAGTTTAGAATGTAGTTGGCCTTGGCCGTTATTTGTGCGAATTGCAATTGGTTTATCAAATGCAGTGGACGTATCGGGAGGTTATAGCATAAATACGTACACTGTGCTTATAATTAGCGAAGAGAAAAGAGTTTTTCAGTTCGAAGACTTTGTGTTTTTTAAATGCAATCATTGATTCACGTGATTCGAGAAATAATATAATGTCCATCACGTTTGTCACATTTGTCACTTTACAAAATCTTTTCATTGCTTATAATTATATGAATTACAGTTTCAGATTAAGGTGAATAGCAAAATTCTCTTTTATAATTCACTGCAACATACAATAGATTTCAGTAAATACAAATAATTTTGAATTCCATTTCAGAAACCTTTACAGGGAACAGAGATTGTATTGTTCCAGAATTTGTAAACCACCTTCATTTCATTACTCTGTAAGAGTGAGTTCTGAACAACATGAAACAATATTTTTAGGTTTTCAATGTTCTTTACAATGAACATCTTGTGCTTTTCTAATGTAACTTATCTACAGTTCTAGATTGCGTGCGATGTAATCTCAAGGGCTCAACTGGTAACATAATAAAAATTATCATCGGTAATACCACGAGTCGATAAATCCCCGATTCGCGCAGCGAGGAGGGGATTTATCCGAGAATATCTGAAGTACGAGTGATATTTAACAGGACTATTCCACTAGTGAATATGTTCAACAGAGTTCCCAATTGCGCCAAATATTTAAAATAACTAAAAGCATGATAATATCAAAGAGGTTATGTTAGTGTACATTCGCGGTTTATTGCACATTAACACATCATCGATACATACCGCATCGTAAAATAGATGAGTGGCAGCTTATTATTGGTTAGTAGGAAGGGGTGGTAAGATAAAAAGGACGGAAAAGGCGATATTTTTTATATACATCGCCTTTATTGGAACATTTTATATATTTGGTTAAACACTATTTGTTTTGATTTCACAAGTTGATAGTCGGTTGAATTTCCCAACATACAGATCGCAAATGAAGAGCTATTTCCTAAGTGGCTGCTTTAGCTGAATATCCTGATTGTTTATTAAAAATAATTGTATTTATGTACCCATTAACTCAAATTTCAATTCTTCTTTGTGCCCATATTCAAGATATGTTCAAAACATAAAAATGTATGTCACTCTTAAAAAAAGCAACATTAATTGAATTCTAAAATATCAGTCAAATGTCCCATTTGTTGGGTTTCTAAAAAAAACCTTCTTTACACAAATATAAAATGTTCTCATGAAAAAAAAGCGTTTCCAGTCATTTAACTTGGATTTAGAAAATCAAAATCTATGGAAACGACCATTGCTTTTCTTTTCTTCCGTTCCCTCAGCTGGTCAAAATGAAGAACTATTTAAATGTTTTTACATCTTTCGAAAGATTTTTACGTCATTTACCAAACCAATTACCTTCGTATGGAATGTATGATATTGCCTTTGATAGGATAACATGGTAACTCAAACGTCGATCGCAAACGTAGAAATACCATACTGGCACGAAATAACGTTATTTACTCGTCTTTCGGATTTTTTGCCAATTGAACTTGGGGTCCCGCAGAATTCGATCTTACTCCCTATGCTATTATTTTTCGTACACGTACCCCATAAGATAGTTAAAGCTAAATGTCCCGACACTAGTACAATTTGTGGCCACCACGTGGCAGCACCAAAATAAGTAAAATTTACTTTACCGATAACGTCTGAACCAATGGTCCGATTTTCGATCTGTAAACGGCATTTGACGCCTTTTTAAAATAGAATTTACGCTACGATGCCCTTTTTCCAAAAATCTAGCAAAATCTCTAATTTGAAATTAGTTCTCAAACTTCCGAGAAAACATTTAAAAATGTGAGCTTATAGCGCGATGGCGACATGCTTCCTGAATCCAACGCCGTGATAATCATGCAAATCGGAGGAATAGGAGCGTCGTAAAGTGTAATTTACGAAAACCCCTCGCCCCCTTCCCCTTCTTCGCCGTTACGTCACCCACCCGATTGTTGTGGGCGGGTTATATTTACAAATTAGTTCATTTTTTTAAAAACAGTTCCAAATAGATCGATATTTTGAGTATTGCTCAAACAATTTTAAGATCGTATTCGAAGAAAGACGGAAATATGTGAAAATATGTTACGTATACTATTACAGACCGTTTACCTCAGTCAGTAATAGTAGTAAAGCATCTCTAATTTAGTATCTGTGGAAAAATAGACTGAGATGCAAGAGACGAAAGCCGAAACCGACTGTCTGGCAGGCGTATCCTGCAAGTCCGCGCTGCTCCGCCGGGACTGGCCGCACGCCGCTGGCTGGTCGTGCCCCCGCGCGACAGAGGGCCACAACAATCGGGTGGGTGACGTACGGCGAAGACGGGAAGGGGCGAGGGGTTTTCGTAATTTCACTTTACGACGCTCCTGTTCGTCGATTTGCATGATTATCAGGCGTTGGATTCAGAAGCATGTGTGTCATCGCGCTATAAGCCCACATTTTTAAATTTGTTCTCGAAGTTTGAGAACTAATTTCAAATTTGAGATTTTGCTAGATTTTTGGAAAAAGGGCATCGTAGCGTAAATTCTATTTTAAAAAGGCGTCAAATGCCGTTTACAGATCG